ACATGACACCACATCACTACATTTTCCCAAGCACTACAACATCACAGGAGCCTAGAGAATTCAAGCTCTCCTATTTACAGAAATCAGTCTTAAAAAATATTCCATAAAGACCACGTTTTAGTCAACTTTGCAGCCCCAACCCCAACTCAAAGCCTGACACAAAAGGAGCGCTCAATACATGTACGAGGTCTGTCTGGGAACTATCCAGCCATTGTTGATATAAGGAGCACGGTTTGCACAACATTGCTGTAACCTGGCAGCCATGGAGAGTGGACTGGGTGGGCATGAGTGAACAATGACAACTTCACTGTACTAGTCAAGGGGTGCTAGACACTACTGAGTGAGCACTGTGTGGCCATCGCATTCAAAATGACTGAGCGAGTACAGCAACGGATCTGCATCAAATTTTGTGTTAAGCTTGAACGTTCCTAAGCAGAAACCATTCAGATGATTAAGGAGGCTTTCGGGGACGATGCAATGAGTGCAGCGCAAATACAAGTGTGGCACAAAGGCTTCAAAGATGGTCGAGAATCTGTTGAAAGTGATCCATGTTCTGGAAGGCCTGCAATAAGCAGAATACCTGAGAATGTTGAACGTGTACGGGTTAGATGTTGGGAGAACCGGGTGAGGCCCTAAGGTGCCTACTTTGAAGGGGACTGAGGTGTCATTGTCCTATGTACAATGTTTCTTGTACCTTGTATCTTCTTCAATAAATGTCTTTATTTTTTACATTACATGGCTGGATGCTTTCTGGACAAATCTCACATTTGGGTGCACAGCAAAAGAAATACCCAACACAGTAAACAGACAATGTGCAGAATCGGGGAAAATATTTGCAAACTATGCATCCAACAGGGCACTGATACCCAGAACTTACAAGGAACTCAAACAACTCAACACAAAAAACCCAAATAACCCCATTAAAAAGTAGACTCCCTAAATCTATTGAAATAAAAAAAAGAAATTTAAAAAAGTGGGCTGCACCTATAGTCCTAGCTACTTGGGAGGCTGAAGCAGGAAGTCTGCTTGAGCCCAGGAGGTGGAGGTTCCAGTGAGCTAGGATAACGCCACTGAACTCCGGCCCGAGCAACAGAGCAAGACTCTGTCTCAAAAAAAAAAAAAAAGTGGGCTAAGGACACAAATAGACACTTTTCAAAAGAAGACAAATGGCCAAGAAGCATATGAAAAAATGTTCAATATCATTAATCATCAGAGAAATGCAAATTAAAACCACAGTGAGATATCATCTTACACCAAGAAGAATGGTTATTATTAAAAAAAAATAACAGATATTGGCAAGAATGTGGAGAAAAGGGAACACTGTTGGGAATGTAAATTAGTGCAACCTTTTTGGAAAACAGTATGGAGGGTTCTCAAAGAACTAAAGCTAGAACTACCAAAAGATCCAGCAATCCCACTATTGGGTATCTACCCAAAGGAAAATAAATAAATATATAAAAAAGATCCCTACACTGGTATGTTTGTCGCGGCACTATTCACAATAGCAAAGATATGGAATCGACCTAAGTGTTCATCGGTGGAAGACTGGATAGAGAAAATGTGGTACATATACACAATGGAATACTATTCAGCCATAAAAAAGAATGAAATCATGTCTTTTGCAGCAACATGGATGGAATTGGAGGTCACTATCTTAAATGAAACAACTCAGACGCAGAAAGTTGCATGTTCCCACCTATGTGTGGGAGCTAAATAACGTGCACACATGGAAGCAGAGCGTGCAATGATGGACAATGGAGGGGTGGGGATGAGAGGGGGCGGATGATGGGAGGTTGTTTGGTGGGTACAATGTGAATTGCCTCTGGGATGTACGAAGCCGTGCACATTGCTGAAAGCCCTGAAGGCCCTGACTTCACCACGATGCAATAGATCAATGTAGCAAAATTGCACTTGTACTCCATGAATATGTATGCATAAAAGATAAATGGGGAAAAAAATGAAACAAAATACAGATGGGGAAAAAAAAAGATGTTGAAGCTCCTAGGAATGACTAAGGAAAAAACAGACACCCACTCTCAGATGCTTGGACCTGTCTCAGAGGTTTCTAGGCGCTAATCTTTTGGGGAGACTGCAAATTGGAGAATTCTGTTTGTGATGAGTGGCCTCTCGTTTAAAAAATTCATCCCACCTAATGGGCATAGTGAACACTATTTGGGTGACAGGCACACTTACAGTCATGACTCAAGCATTACAAAAGTGATCCATGTAACCAAAAACATTTGTACCTCCTTAATATTTTGAAATAAAAAAATAAAAAATTCATCCCAGTGAAAAACAATCTGGTTAGAACTGTAGAAGATTCTTCTGTTTTTGCTTCACATTTATTTTCTTTGAAAAACTGTTACGGAATCTTTTTCTAAAGCTCCTGTATATTCTTGTGGAGAAGTCAAAACTGGAATAGAAGAAAAGAAAGAAAGAAATATGATACATAAAATTTTCCAAAACTTAAAAAAGAATTCATTGTGGCTGATAGGATTTTGTTCTTGTTCAATTTCCTTTTTGAATGAAATATTACAACCTTATGGAAAAGTATACATTGTATTAGTAACATACAAGTATCCCCATTTAGTTTTTTAAACATCTTGCCTTATTTACTTTGAATCATTTTTTAAGACACATCTTTCCAGATACAGGCGAAGTCCACTGCACACCCCTCTGCTATTGCATTCACTACACCATGGTGATTTTATGCTTTTACTACCTATGTAACAATAATCATAGATAATATTATTTTGCATGATCTTGAAGTTTATATACATGGCAATATGCTGAAAAAAAATATGTTGAATAAGTGAACAAATAGTTCTGAAGATAAACATCCATTTATTAGCAGACTCAAAATGCCATATACCACGATCATTTAATAAGTGTTCTTTAATAGTTAAAATTTGAGAGTGGTACCCAATGCATATAAGCTTAAGTCATGTAAAATTTTTAAAAATGCACAGTTTACATGTTTTCTATTGAGTTATGTGCATGCTGGTGATTCTTAGTTACAATACAACTTAAGATCTATGCATTAATAAAGCACTATCACGGCAGCCATTTAGGAAATTCATTTGAATCATGCAGTTCCCAAAACATTGTGGGACAAATTAAAAAGGTGTCCCAAGTTCCACACTCTTCAGTGGCAGATTTTTACTCAAAACCTGTTTACTCTTGCTTTGCACACTAGGCTAGTAGAACTCCAGGTTCACAACAAAGTAGCAGGAGCAAAGAAGGAGAGAGTCAAAAGGCTCCTGTTTGGCTCAGGATCATGGTGGGGCTAAGGGTCTGAAACCAGGTAGGTGGAAAAGGACACCTAGAATGGGATCACAGGTGAAGCTGGGAGTGGCAGGAAGACAGAGCAATGTCAGAATCAGAATCACATGTAGACTGAGGCACAAAGCTGAAACACTAGAACAGATGACTTGAAGCCAGATAATAAGGGAACTTGAAAGGAATAAAGCTCATAAGCCAACAAGAGCGAGATCAGGTGTGGGAGAGCAACCAGGCTGCCCAGGTCTCCTTGCTCAGGCCAAGTGCCAGGGAAGAGAGGCCTTGGGTCTGTCGTTGCTCTGCCCTCTCCTCGCCAGCTCTGTTTCCCACAAGGAGGCAGGCAATTGCATCTTCCCCCACTCCCCAATTCTCTTCATTTGGCTCTGAGATAGAGCTAATGCCACAGGGAAATCATTCTTTTAATAAATTTTAATTGCACACCTACTATGCACCAGGCACGATGGGATACACTAGTGAATAAAATGGATTCTGCCTGCACAGAACTTAGATTCTAGATGGAGAGACACCATAAACAACAACCATAAACTCATCCCTCCAAACTGTGAGAAGTGCTAGGAAGAAAACCTCACAGGATGCAAGGATGCAGAATAAGGATGCTGGCTACTTTAGATGGAGTGGTCAGAGAAGGCCTCTCTGTAGAAGAGGTTTTGAGCTAAGACATGTTAAAGTTTCATCATCCAAAGACCACTAGGAATAAGTGTAGTCTAATAACACTGCAAGTATTGACTCATGACAAGGCAGAATGGGAGCGAGGAGGGAAGCATCTTTGGGTTAGATTCCTCTGAAGGGCTCTCAGGTTACAGTTGGTCAATTGTAATCCGGCCTTGAACTGAAGTCAGGAGCATACAGGGTAGAAACAGCAAGAGTTGCTAATGGAGTGAATGTGGGATTCTACCAAGTTCCTGTGACTGTTGTGGTCGGCTCTTCCCTGGGGAATGGGAAGTGGGATCTAGCAGCTGGGTTTTGGAGAGGTAAGAAATGACAGCCTGACTTCAAGTGCATGGTAAAATCAGAAAAAGCAAACGCCAAAGTCAAAACTCTGAGCCTCAGAGTACATGCAGACAGGTGCATACACCCCAGCCCTTCAACGAGAGTAGTCTACCAGAGCCCGGTGCAATTCCTAATTTCCGTAAAGACCCCTAGATACAAGTCAAGGCTGTGTCTAGTTCATTCAAGGCAACCAGAAAGTGTGTTGCATTTTTACAAAAGCTTCCACCCAAAATGTTTTTTTTTAAGTGGTGCTAAAAGGAAAAATTCTCATTTTTATGGAAAACTTAACTCCCTAAATAAAAGTTTCGCTCAGATAGCGGAAGTGTCCTAATCCTAGATCCCTAAAGGGACTGTAACCGATGTCTCACAGTGCGCATTACCTTCAGAAGTCACTTTACAATCTGTGACTAGGTGTCCAGCCAATTTGAACGTTCACATTAATCCGCACTGTACAAGCAGGAGGGAGGGGCCAGGACGACGCTTCCCCTTCCAGACTGGCTTTTGTGCATGTTTTGTTTTAATCGTCGCGTTTTAGAGAGTTGCCTGGCCAACCTCACGGGTTCCCAAGGAGACCACCACCTCCCCGGGGACGCGGAGTGACTATTCCGGGTCGCCCGCCGAGCCTCGCCCTGCACTGCTGAGTAGCTGAGCTCGCCGCGGGGCAGGGAGGGGCGTGGCCCGCGCTGGGCGTGGCCAGCGCGCTCATGAGAGGGGCGGGGCCTGAGTGCGCCTGCGCGGTCCGCTCTACTCAGGGAGGCGGAGGCGACGCGCTGCAGGAAAGATGGAAGACTACCAGGCTGCCGAGGAGGTAACGCCCGCTCGGCGATAGAAGGGTGGAGGCCGGGAGTTTTAGGCGCGGATGGACTCGCGGTCCTGCCCGGGAAGCCCTGGCTGCCTCCTCCCTCGGCCAGAGGCTCCGGAGCGTCAGCGCCCCGCCCAGCCCGCCCTGGCATCGCCACCGTTTCCCCCTCGGGGAGGGCTGCGGGCGGCGGGAAAGGGAACCGGACTCCGTCCCGCGCGGGGCGGCCCCAGGCGGTTCTCTGTGAGAGCGCCTGAGTCCGCAGCGTCCGGCGTCTTCCCCCCGGGCCGGGGTCGGCCTCGCCCCGCGGCCGGCAGCGGAGGACGCCGGGAGGATGACATCATCCCGCCCCTACTCCGCGGTGCAGACCCCCAGCCCCAGCCCGCAGAGCTGCCCCGCGCCGGCGGTGGGGAGACCGAGGCCTGGACGCTTAGCGCGGGAGTGCGGAGTGACGCGCGCGCCTCCCAGTCCCCCGGCCACGGCTGGATGTCCAGGCTGTCCGCCCTGGCGGGGGTGCGCGGCAGGGGGCCCGCCTTTGTCTGGTCCCGCACCTTGTTCTCCCACCGAGGCCACCGCAAATGAGTAGTACATTTCACTTCAGTTCGAGGTGTCAGCAAGGTAGCTCATTCCTGTGGGGAGAAATAGTCTTTTATGCCTCAATGAAGAAGTTGGGTAAAGCACACGATCATTTGCCAGGAGAAGCTGCTCATCCTACCCGCGGCTGTTACAGTGGCCGCCTTCGAGCTAACAGGGAGTAGGGGCCCATGGACGCTGCTGTTAGACAATCCTTACTCATCCTTGTTGAAATTCAGGTAGAATCCTATTATGCAGTCTGTCAAAAATAAAAACTATAGATAAATTTGGTAAGGTCTCCCGTCTTACCATTTTTGAAATTTAGTTTCAGCAGGAGTGTTTTATTTTCAGGGAAAATAAAACTAAGGCTTAAGGACTGATTCCCTAGAGTTTCAGTCTTGGTCTGATTTCCTAATTAGCGCAAACTTTACCTGACAATGTCATAATCAGTGCTTGAATGCTGACAGCAACCAAGTGAATAATGATGAGAGAAGGTTTAGGAGCAGACAGCATTTCCCCATAAACTACTAGTATTGGAAAATGGCTTGTATAATGGTAATGTCGAATAAAACTTTTTAAAAAAGGAAATGGCTAGGTAAGAGAACGTCCTTAATACAGCATTCTAATTCTGGCTCTCACAGATGAGGTGGCTACATGGTTTTAGTATCTAGATCTCAGTTGCACGTCTGTAAAATGAAGAGGCTGAACAGAGTGATCTGTATTTTACACTAGATGTGAACTCTGGGAGGTTGAGACGGTGACTCTTGTAGTAGGCAGGTCCTCCTGCCAGCCTCTCAGCTAAGCCTTCTCTGCATACACACTCAGTCCATGTAGATTCCTGGGCCTTTGTAACTCTACTCTCAACTCGTTTCACAGAAGCTGAGACTGTCCACTGGATTCAATACAACTGCTCTACTTTCCACTAAAAGTTCTTTAAAATGTCCCTCAACCTTTTTCATACTTTAAGTATACGGAAAGTTAAACAGGCACTTTCCTTTGTGATTTAGTCACTATAGTCACTTGGAAGGGTCCTTTAAACTTCCAGAAATGATTTAATCTCTAAGATACTACAAATTTTCATTAACTCTGTGAGTTGGTTTTGTTTCCAAATATGACTTCTGAGTATAGCAAGTGTGGTGGCTTCGGGCAGTCAGCTCTTGATGCTCCTGAAGAGAAGGGGGGACTGCTAGAACAAGACCTCTTGATCCTCCTGAAGAGAAGGGGGCACTGCTAGAACAAGGCCGGCCTACAGTGGGCAGGAGCCGGGCAGGGAGGAAAACTCACTGTCACAGCAGGCTCTGCCTTTCCCCCACCAGTGCACTGCTGACTGCAGGCCCAGGGGCTGTCCTCTCAAAGGCATGTCCGGAGCTAAGTACCTTTCCTGGGACTCGGCTGTAACTTGAAACGCTTGTTTCCATGTCAAGAGCACATTGGCAGGCAAGTAAGTGCCTGACTATTTTCAGGGTGACCTTGTACACATTGAGATCTACCATATGTAGAAAGGAAAGGAAGAAAACTATACTCCTGGAAAACTGGACTACCGCAGGCAGCCCACCTCCCCTGTCATCTGACACTGGTGGAGAACTGCTGTGCTAGCAGCTGGTTATTAGTCCTGTAATCAGACAACATTAGGAAAGAAAAATAATTACCTGGAAATAGTATAATCATTGTAATTTTATGACGAATGGTGGCTAAAAAAGAAACAAAAAAAACCCCACATAAAACCCTCTTTAAGTTTCAGGCCCCTAATCAGTTTACATCAGGAAAGAGAGAATTACATCTTTAAATTGGATTGCTTAAGCAGCTTCAGTTAATTTATACAAAAGTCAAGTAACTCTTTAAGGTTGTCTGTTGGTGAATGATCCTAGCAGCCAGTTGAAATGGAATGACAGACTGAGTTCTAGTTTAAAGTGAAGTCTTGGATCGTGGTATGATTAAAACAAAAAACCTTTAAATTGTGTACATGTATTCTGGTCCCCTGGTTTCTGAGGACTCGTAGTGCCTTTCTCAGTAAGTTGAACAGTCTCATTAGATTATTTCTAAGGTCTTCATTTCTAAATTATGTTCATTACCTAAATTTGCATGTATCAATGCAGTGAAAGCAAATAAATCAAACTTAACTAAATGTTCTTCCTTACAGACTGCTTTTGTTGTGGATGAAGTGAGCAACATTGTAAAAGAGGTAAGAGGAGAAATGCCTGCTTTTTAAGTGTTTGATTAGTGGCCTATGTGAGAGAAAATAATGTGTTTTAAATACTATCTTGGAATTGTTTCAACTGAGCCTGTGTGTTTTGGCATTTCAAATAACAGTTTTTACTTCAGTAAACATTTAGATAAGAATTATTCCCATACTATGTAAATTATATATTTTAAGTCAAACAGAATTTTATATAGATAGCATTATTACTGAATGTCATCAAGGCTTGATTCTGTAACCTTTAGGCATAAAAGACACATGGAATACAAATAAATGTTTCCAGTGTTTAATGTGCAGTGTGTAGAAGAAAATTGAATAATCAACTTCCAGTTATTCAAGACCTGTTGATCCAGTTTGGGGCCTGCTCAGTTATTTTTCTTACATTCCTAAACATACTTTATTGTTATCAATCACAGTACCTCCCATAAATGATGAGGAGGATAAGAGACAAAAGAGATATTTTTCATTCATTCCACAATACACATTGAGGGAGCACGTAGAGGACTGGCGAGCAAAACACACATGGTCCTCACCCTCCTGGAGTTTACAGTGTGGGGGACAGGCACTTACCAAATAATCACACTGCAAAATGTCAGCTTGCATTTGTTGTGTGGCACTGTGAGAGCATTTAAAGAGAATTTGACCCACTGAGTGAGTCCAGGGACATTCAGAGCTGAAATCTGAAGAATGAGCAGGAGTAGGGTTAACGCAGCAAACCTCCGAGCAGGGGTGTGAGGTGTGTGTGAGGAAGTAAAGGGAGTTGGCGCAGGGAGCTGGGGGAGCCAGGGAGGAATGAAGCCAGGAGGGTTTACCTGCTCAGTTTCCTTGCCTTCCCTGGATAAGATCGAGGACATATGTTGAAGCTGTCGGCTAAAAGAAAGTCATTAGATGATCGGAAGTTTAAGTTCCCCACATGTAATTTCAAATTGGTTGTAATGCAAATTACTGACTAATGCTAGAGTGATAAAGCAGCGCAACCTATTTTTGTGAACAGTATCCAAAAGCAAAATGATTTTTTGCACTATTTAGCATCAGGCATGATTTTCTGGTTGCTCTGCAGTATCTGTAACCATTTGCTTTTCATTGTTTTTCTAAGTACAGTGTTTCATGTGGAACACAGTAGGGAGCAGGAAGGTGGGTGAATTATACCAGAACTGTGAAAAGTGGAGTTGGTTGGTTGGGAAGTCTGGTTCAACTTGGTCGTTTTCTTGCATTATCTTTGACTTGGTTACCAGGCAGCATTTCCAGCTTATATGGAAACACGAGGTGACACTGCAGTGTTACTTTAACCTTGTACCACTGGCTTCAACAGCTTCTTTGCCCCTGGCAGCAGGTTAATTCTGTATCAAGCTGTCTTAAAGTATTGGGCAGCAGTAAATTGGGCAGGTCCAAAATTGGTGGAGGATTTTCCTCCCTCCCTGAAACACAGTGTCTTTCCAGCGTGCAGGGAGAGTTGCCAGTTAGAGGTTTACCTTGAAAGAGCCCCTTTTCTTGACAATGCCCAGGTCTAGTGATACTGCTGTCCCCTTAAACTGGGACTGCTGGGCCCCCACCCCATGTACCCTCTGAGCTGGGAGGGGAACACACGGGGTAAGGAGAAGGAAGTAGGACCTGTGAATAATGGGACTACTCCAGGTCCCAGGAGAGATGGGAAGGTCCAGAGGTAGAAATCAGAGTGTGACACAGGTAGGTTTTTGTTCCTCAAAAGCGAGGTCGCTGGGCCTCAGCCCCAGGCAGCAGATATCCTGGTCCGTCACCACCATGTGCAGCCCAGATCCCAGACTGTTGTTTTCTCTGCCTGTCTGAGTACAGAACTTGGCCCTCACTGAATGTTTTTATTTTAGGTTATATCTGTCATTAAAACTCAGTTTCCTGGTTTCTGGCACAGCAAGTTAGGGGCAGAGAAGAAAGCTGCCTAGATGCAGGCAGGATGGCACCAAGGGGAACAGGGAGGGAGCTGACACAGTGAGCGACCCAGACAAATCGTACATGGGAATACCTGGGAATACCGTAAGGATACGCCTAGCAAGAGCACAGCGGGGAGCCATGCATACCATCACGTGATTCCAGAAGAACACAGCATAGAAAAAGGAAATTTAGAACAAAGAAAAAAAATTTCATCACAAACTTAAAATAAGTTTTGGAAAAGGCTGTTTTAGTTATCTGAAAAATGTTTATATGGTAACATATTCCCAGAAAATGCTGGATGAGAGACGTATTTTTGAATGTACAATTGTTTAGATAGGTTTGTATGTTGTCAGCTGTATCAATAACCAATAAAAATTCATCTTATAATATTAGTATAAGGTAGTATTAGATAAAAGTATCTAATTTTTTTAAAGAAAGAAATAGGGAAAGTAAAATATTTAGCCTCAGGAAAAAAAATGTGTTATCTCTGAGTATTAATAGCTGCAGTGAAACCTAAATCCAGTTACTAGGTCAAAATGTTTAAAACATTTGACAGACAATACAATTATGAATTTTTTAAACAAATATAAAACTTATTTAAATGAAATATAACACTATCAAAAGGTTACATTTGCAAAGGAGTCCTCATGATTAAAAATAAACGCACATTTCATGTAAATTTCATTGCATCAGTTCTTCAGGTTGTAAATATCGGTTACTAACTGGGAGGTGCCTGGGTGCCTTCTGTTCACTATGACCCCTTTGTGCTTTTCTAGGCTATAGAAAGTGCGATCGGCGGTAACGCTTACCAGCACAGCAAAGTCAACCAGTGGACCACAAATGTAGTAGAACAAACTTTAAGCCAACTCACCAAGCTGGGAAAACCATTTAAATACATTGGTAATGGATTTTTGTTTCTGGTATATTTTGGTGGTGGTTCTTTAAATACTGACCAGAGATGTGTCCTGTGCTAGAAAAGATGGCTACCATGGCAGTTTGGTTCCTCACCGCAAAGGAAGTTCCTAATAGGAATAGGTTACTTACCACACATTTGGCCCATTTGGCTGTTGGTACAATCACAGTGCATATGTCAACCAGGATTTTACAAGATTTCCAGTCAGGCGCTTTTAGAACAAGTGGTAAAGGGAGGGAAGGGTCCCTGACTTACGATGGTTTGACTTGCAATTTTTCAACTTTATGATGGGTTTATCAGGGTATTAGTCGCATTTTCACCTTATTTACGATGGGTTTATTGGGACATAACCCCATTGTAAGTCAAGGAGCATCTGTACTTTGTCACTTTGGTAGGACGTGGCAATCTACTCCTATACTTTTTAATGTGAACATCAACCGTGTGACCCACATATATATGCCAAAAGTGAGCAAAACAACATCCATGTTGCCAAGCAGATTTCTGTAATAAAGTTTGTTTTAATTTAAGTGACCTGTGTAATTATGCAGAAGAATGGAGCTGGACTACACACGGCAAGTTCCTGCTTCTGGGACAGCTCTACTGATGGTAAGGTTTCCAAACATCGCGTTTGTAACATCAGTCAAGTGCATTTTCCCTGAAAGTTTTCAAGTACTTTCTTGGACCATGCTAAGATGTATGTTATTTAAAAGAGGTGTTTTCATAAGTGCACATATAAGAATAACATCTATTGGATATCGGGCAGGGGGAAGGGGGGAGGAGGGAACAGACAGGTATATGCATACACAAAGAGTGCAATGCGCACCATCCGAGGGATGGACACACTTGAAACTCGGACTTGGGGGCGGGGAAGGGCAACATACGTAACCTAAACATCTGTACCCCCATAATATGCTGAAATAAAAAAAAAAGTGTTTTTATTAGTCACCTTTTAAAACCTTTTATTATAGAGACTTGCCAACCTTCTTCATGTACCATAAAGAGGTGGGTACTTGAGTGTTGGCCTTAGTGTGAGAAATCAGGTCAAGTCCCCCAGTTTTCCTCATTTAAATGCTGTTCTGTCGTCCTCCCCAGGGAGCTGTACCGTGCGATGGGAGAACAAGACCATGTACTGCATCGTCAGCGCCTTTGGACTGTCCATTTGACCTCCTTGTCCAGCCTGTGACCTTTCGCTCTGTCTCAGCGTTTCTTTTCCATCTTCTAACCGCCAACCACGAATTCAAATGAACACCTTTCTCATTCTTAAGTGTGTGTTTTGTGGCACTCTCAAAATATAGAGAAAAAACCAAATGACTGCACTGTTAGATGAACTGTACACCGTAAGTCAAATGAATAGTTTGCAGTGCGTAGTCTGAAGCCTGTATTGCCACTTGTCTTAACTCTGAATATTTCTTTTCAAAGGTGCTAAAAACTGAAATCTGCTAATGTGAAACTTGCTCTACTCTCTGAAATGATTCAAATACACTAATTTTCCATACTTTATACTTTTGTTAGAATAAATTATTCAGATTTAAAGTCTGTTGTGTTCTTCATGGTCTACATAGTATCACAAATGAATTCTTCATATTTAGTTAGTGACTTCAGCATCTATAAAAGAAAAGTTCTGCTTTGGTCCTCTCCAACATGATGACCCACTCATTTTACCTGTGGGACCAGGATCCCGACAGTTCTGCCAGGTTCTGGTTAGATTCCTACCCTTCGGCATCATACCCGTCATTCTTAAGCTCCCTCTTCTAGAGGCTGAGGGGTGGCGGTGGGCCGGGGCGCAAGCTGATTACTATTCCTTTAGCCAGGGGAGCTCTAACTTACTCTAGGCCCAAAGCTGTAACACCACAACTTTTAATCCCCTGTTCTGTTTTTCAGTAGCAATTACAAACTGTTTTAGTACTTTACAAAATGCTTTCACAATCATTCATTTTGTGTCCGCAGCCATTATGCAGTTATTTAAAATCAGAAAATGTGTTTGGAGGTTGTCAGATTGGTTTAAAGTCACACATCCACGTAAGTAGGGAGGCGGGCCCCAAACCCCGGTCTTGTCTTCATCTCCACCTCCTCCCCAGGCCATGCAGACATGGCAATAGAGACACTTCCGTGTCTACTTGCTGAAATGAAAAAAGCCCTGCTCTTGTCTCTTAAATACCTTTTATCAGACACTCATGTCTGAAAGGCCATATTAACTCCACACACAAAGAGCAAACAAGCCAAGATACATAAAAGAACTGAATATTAAAAATTTATTAACATTTACCAGAAAGGTAGTGTCAGAATGAAGCCATTCCCAAAACGTGAGTTTGCCATAAATATTTATTCACTTGTGCCCGACTGATTACAGCACCCACTCTGCTCAGGTGCCACTGTGCTCCACTGACAGTCCCACAGTTAAATACATAGCTCTACCTTCCCTTCTGAGCTTAAAGTTTAGTGTTTTATTTTACAAATATGTACAGTCTTTTTGTAAAAAGGCAGTTTTCAGTAGCAGAAAATCCTTCTGTTTCATAGTATGGTGGTATAGTTACCAGTATATCTAACATGTCAAGTCAAAATAGCATAACACGATGTCACAGACAAAAGCAACTTCCCTTTGGCCTGGAAAAAAGAATTCTGTCTTTTTTTCAAAAGTCTAACCTCTAAGGCAACTGGTTTCTAAAACCCTCAAAATACAAATTCACTTTAGTGTTTTAAGTCTAGTCTTTACTAAATGTTCATAGAGACTTCTCTTTTAATTATCCCTTTTATGAGCATCTGTGTTTTTCCTGTGAAAAAGATTCAGGAAATAAGTTAGCACATAAAGTAATCTATTGAACCTACTGTACCTTCAGTAAATAGTTAATGAAATACTTGAAGCTGGTGACACTTGTCTTTGTAACCTGCCCATTTAGTGGGTTGGGTTTACATAATGTATATCTAAACTTTTATCGTAATCTATAATTATGTACAGTAATAACCTTACAAACTTTGAATATATGTTTATATATATCCCCTTCTCTCACCTTTCCAATGGGGCTTAAGGGAGAGAAAACGGCACCACTTCACTGCTGTAATGATTTAATAATAAATCAAGCGGACCTATTATCCATATGGATAATGAAGCTCTCCCTTGGGAAACTGAAACATTTCTGGTCATCTTCCAGGTTGCCCTAGACTGGACCAGTATAAAAAAATATCCCAAAGATGATGTTATTCAAGCCATTACTATGAAAGAACTAAAGTCAGCCCTTTGAATTTATAATTTAAGTTTGCGAAACTTTAATCCCCTAAGAAAAACAATTCTCTTGCTACTGTCAAAAGTTTCTGGCAGACTTTAGTGTTTTAACCTAACACCTATGGCACATATTCTACACGCTAAATGCTATATATTTTAAGCAAATTTTTACATGGATATGTATTAATAATATGTTGATATTTATGATACACCAGGGAAGAGAAATTGAAAATTCATGATTTAATAAAGAACCATTTTCCCCTCTTAAGTACTTTTGTTGTAATTTTTTTGTTTCCAACTTAGTTACAAAAAGTAAATAATCCCGTATTTTTCATTTCATTGAGGTCATGAAGAATTAATGTATGAAGATACTAGTCATTAGTTTATAATTACACCATAGGACAAAGACAAGTTCTAAACAGTTCCATTGTGTGTATGGCTAAATGCCTCAACTATTTTATATGTACTGATAAATAACAGCATTCCAAATCATGAACAACTACTTTATAATGATTAAAACTTGTAAACTATATCACATGTTAGAATATGTTAATCAGCACAAGACTTCAGTTTATAAAAAATTATAGTATTAGAAGTTGTAAAATTTGGTAACAGAAAATTTTTTCAATACCTCTGAGTACACAGAATCAAAAAAAGTCATCACATATTCATTGTAAATGTAAAAATCATGTAAACCTTGAATTACTCTTGCAATAATAGTTGTTTTAATCCAAACATTCCTATTTACAAGGTTTTTCAAAACAAATGTGAATAGAATCCATATTAAAGGTACATTACCATTGAAGTTTAAATTAAAAAGAAGGATACGAAGCCATAATGAATAGTCTCTCATGAACACCTCTAAGGTCCCAGCACTACCAAAGTGGACAATAATTTGTAGCTCTGAATGGTCATCTGAGAGTCAATGCATAGATGAAGAGATGTAGGTACTGCTTGCAGAGCGCAACAATTCTCTTTTGGACCTCTGTTGGCCAAGATGGCATCAGTCAGGTTGGCAATAATTATATATGCTAATAGTTACAGACGTTGTGCATGTCAAGGGGAAAGCAAAGGAGGCGTCTATCCCAGACTTCTACATTGAGTCCCTGACTAAAAGGAACTGCAAACTCTCCAGGGCTGTGTATGATGCTCAGATTCAGCAGCAACAAAGACTCTTCCACAGAGCAGGAGCTTACCTCACTCCCATGTGGTTCATGGAGGACAGGAAATGGTTTCCAAGCAAGTTACCTTCTACCCAAAGATGTTTTCCATAAGCCATTTAAGACGTTTTACTTTCTTTTCATCTAGTTTCCAAAAGTGAAGTTAAAAAACTTTTTGGCAATAAAGAATGTATAATATTATATAAATCATTCATTTACCTCTTATTAAAAAAAATAAAGCTCTATGGGGTTTCATATTCAAGAGTTGCAGAAACTGTTATTTATCGGCACAGTAATGGTTCCCCTCCCGCCCACCCCAACCACTGGGAAGTCCTCTCACAGTCACAGTGGTGTATGTAAGCACACCGGCATACACAGGTCCCTGCAAAACACCGCGGCAATAAAACCTTCCTCACGGGAGCTGGTAGCTTGTTAATTATCTTAGCCTTTCCCTATTCAACCTATCAAACCCTCCTCAGAGCTCCACGGCACTATTACTTCTGCTTTGGTGACAGTGAAGGGCTGGAACCCGGCCATCCACCATTCCCCGGAGAAGTCACAACGTACGCGCTTCATCGCAAGTTGCCAATCCTTTCAGACGCCCCGCAACAAGGAGGGACTTTCCCCCGAGACAGCCACAGAAACAGGCTTCCCTTTGAGTGTAGAGTTTAAAGGATCAAAAAACCCAATACCATGGGGAAGGGAGAAAGGAAGAAAGAAGAGTGATGCCACTTGCTGTGGACCTAGTCACAGGGGCTGCCCACGAACTTAGAATTAGTGAATAATTTTAAAAAAAGAAAAGTACATAATTGACTCCACTGAAAACAAGGGTAATTTTCTTCTCACCACTGAAAACATGCGATCTCTCATCTGAAGTCTTTTACGAAGCATTCGGCTATTTAAACTTCTTATCCACACCTATCTTCCCAAATAAATGTAGCCAGCCTGACGATAAATTTGGCCCAACATTAAATTTGCCTCAGTTTTGGTTCTCCTTTTAAAAACATGTAAACAAATAAGGACCAGGAAATCTTTGCTCATAAGGAAAGTCTGAATAGAAGCAGGTATGGGAAGGTCAGGAAATGGTCACCAAAGGAAGAGGTCCGGGCGCCGTGCCACCGCGCAGCCCTGCCAGGAGCTCAGTCGCTGTCGGACTCCTCCTTGTACTTGGCCCGAATGGCCTGGCCGTTCTGCAGAGGCATTTCTTCATAGTCACTCCTGTCACAAAAGGGACCTTTGATACCACTTGACTTTTGACAGCTCTTATTTATTCTCGTCTTTCGCAATGACACACCCTTCTAGCAAGAACTCGTTTCACAGCTCCACTCTCTGTTTCCTACCGCAGCCGGTCCTGCCCACTCCTGCCCCCACTCCCCTCCGTCGCCAGGGCCCCCAGTACAGAGAGAGACGTCCTTCCTGTGCTCACCACGCCCCGTGGGGACTCAGCAAGAAGGAATACCACTAAATCTAAGCCTGAACCATGCGAACACAGGAAACAACACATCACGCGACACTCCCAGGTAAATGTTACACCACGCTGAAAATAGTTTTAGACAGTGGCCCGTTCAGTAAGCAGCGAGACAGCGACTTACCCATAAATCACATCATCATCAGAGTCGTTGAGCATGGAAAACGCAGGATTGTCTTTCAGCTGGGACTCTGAAAACCAACAAAAGCATTTTTAGCACTTTATGTTATTAGCCTGGAGAGGCAGGATGCTGTCCTGGAAAAAGGACAGGAGTCAGAAAGACCTGGATTCAAATTCCAGATTCTACCACCCTCTGTGTGAGCCTGACCGCATCATCTCAGGAGTCTACTTCTCACCCACAGCGTGGGACTAGCATGGCCGGCGGGGCAGGGATGTGGTGAAGACCCAGCGAGGCGGCCTGCAGGAAAGAGCAGGCAGAACGCCGGTGCCCACGTGCACGCAAGCTGCCTCCTGCCCACACAGGCAGGAGGGGACAAAAAACAGGCCCAAGGAGGTGTGGACCTGCCCTGCCTGCTCCTGCCCAGTCCCTGGACCTGCAGCTGCTTCTAAGTTCCTTCATCTGTAAAATGGGAGTAATGACACATTTATCATAAAATTGCAAAGCTCAAATGCGACCCTGTTCATGAAGGTGCTCTGAAAGCTTGAGCACGACATAAAAC